TAAAAAAAAATCCTGATTTTGAAACAATAAAATATGAATACGAGTAATTTTTAATAGTTCTTGGTGAACATTATTAATAAACATCGCTAATTAAAGGATGGCAATTCTATTTAAAGTTGGGGAGAAAAAACGGCAAAGTCCTGTACATTTATACAACATGATAGCAGTTGTTCTTAAGCTGTTTGAGGTTTAACTCTACTCCTGGATTCTCACTGGAACCACAGATGTCTCTTTGGAACCCTATGGTTTTATACTGGTTCATTTACACTCTCAAATCTTCCCCAGCCTGCAACCCATGACCAACCCATTACCACAATTAAGAACTTTTACAGTTCCCATGTACTAGAATGGCTGTATTAAAAAACACAGAAAACACAGGTGTTGCTGAGGTTGTAAAGAAACTGGAACATGCATATCATTGTTAGTGGAAATGTAAAATGTTACAGCCACTTTGGGAAACAATTTGATAATTCCTTCTTTGACACTGAGTTATTATACTTTCTATTTGCTTCTCTTATTCTCAAGATGATAACTTTTTCCATCAGAGTCTCCTCTAAAAGAATCTGAAAGCAAATCATGTTTGCATATGACCTTAATTTAACAGAACAGAATAATTATACACAGCCATTGGCACTTAGTCTCAAGCAGACAAAAATAATTGTTTTTCTTCGTGTCATCTCTAAAATATAGCACCAAAAAACCCCCAATCAATTTATAAAACAAACGATATATCTTGCCTCCTATTATCAAATAATGAGGCCAGCCCTGCTGTAGAAGTATCACAGTGGTTGAGAGCATCAGCTTTGGAATCAGGACTATTTTGAATGCAGGGCACCTCAACAATTAGTGTATGATCTTATGAAAGTTATTTAGTTCTCCCTGGGCCACCATTTTCACTTCTGTAAGTTAAGAATTGCAATATGTATACCAGACTGTTGTTATAAATATTAAATAAGAACATTCTCCAATGGATCTGCACAGTGATGGCCAAATAATTAGTGCCCAGTAAATATACTTATTTGTAATAACAAATCATATTTATTCTTAATCCTGGTGTTGAGGAAGTTGGGAATGCATTCAGGGCAACACTGACAATGTCATCAGTGCCAGTCATGGGTTCTTGGGCCAGTTATTTCCTCTTCTCCAAGTCTCAGCCAACTCATCTTCGTCCCTAAGGTCCTTCCTGGCAACACTCCATCATAGTAGTTGTTCAATATTTATGGCTGACACAGCCCTCTTTGTCTCTGGCATAAAACTTACAACTTCTAAAATACATGCATTGTTACCAAGATCCAGTGATGGTATGCTTTACTATGATACAATGATTTCCAAGTTTCAGTACTCAACAAGGAATCCAATGTAATATAAATTACAAATAAATGAAGAAAAATAAATATATTTACACATTTTTTTAAATTGAAACTCTGGGAATGGAAATGTGATAGTCTTAACTGATTCCATATAATTTAAAAAATCGTACCAACCACTTTTTAGTTGTTCACCTACAGATCAGTTATCATAATTGGTAGTAGATAGTTCAGATTTTACTGTGATTTTATTTGCATATGAAACAAACAAAAAGTAGAAAGCAAAAAAAAAAAAAAACAAGATCTAAACATGAATGTAGATGATTCATAAAAACAGACACTGAACCACTATATCTTTGCAAACCAAATGGATACAGATGGTTAAAGTTGATCCCAGATGATTCACTGATTATGCACTGGAAAGGCCATTTTTTTTTTTATAAAGAAACACATGATGATTAATAATTTTAAATTTAATGCCTGAAGCCCTTCAGATGTATCCAATACCTGTTTCACAGAGAGCTCTAAATGCGCTCTGAACATAAAAACAATAGGAAACATAAAACTAGTCTTTACCATTCAGATAGATTAGTGTTTAAAGTATTTTTCACTGTGAAATTTTCATGGAGTGATAAGTACATAAAAAAGATCAGAAGTAGTTTGGTGTGCTACTGAGCACAGCGTTTCCCCTTCACCAATATTGTGTTTGTATTTGGTCTTATCAGATATTTAGTCAATCGCTGAAACATTTATTCACAGCCAGTCAATTATAACACCAGGAAATCAGCCACTGAATAAACTGTGCTATTAATTTCCCATCAGAGATTCATGTTTGAATGACCATGCATTTCATAGATTTAAATACCGAAAGGCTAATTATCCCAGAGGCCCCATTAAATGGATGGCATGGATTGCAATAAAAAACAATCCTAATATTGCTCGAAAATGATATTCAGCTTCTAGTTCTGAAGAATAATTTCTTTACCTATTGTTCACACTGAGCATACACACACACACACACACACACACAAACACACTTGCATGCGCACACACTTACACATCTCCTATAGTATTTTCTTTTCTAAAACCTTAGAAAAACAAATCTTAACAACTTCTTATATACAAAGATTCATTATTTTATAAGGTAAAATACAAATTACAATTTTAAAATTTTATCTTCTCAGTCTCTGTGATGTTCAAATTATTTTTTAAAGGACTTTCACAAAATGTCCTTATTGTTCTAAATGACTTTAAATTCAGAATAAAACCCACCCACAGACACAAAGTACTATTATTTTCTAAATCTGTGCATTTTGTTGTTGTTGTTTGTTTTTTAATTGCTCACTCTGCTTAAATAGAAAAAAAATCCGGAGAGTAAAAGTAGTAAGAATTGATTGAGGTTCAGGAATATGCTACCCCCAAATGCACCCTGGCATTTGAGAAGAGAGCAGAGGTAGAAAGGTTACTTTCACCTTCCCCCTGTCCTTCTTCCCTGAAGCAGCTCATAAAACTAAGAAAGAATTTTCTGACCTTTCTCTGAAGCAGGTCGTAATATCTTCATTTGGGAGCTGCCCTCACTATAGCCCAAGAAAAGAGCTCAAAACAGAGATGCCAGAAGAATTTGCAGAAAGGGTCCTTGCCTGAGTTCCCTTCAATTTAGTGACATTAGCTCACACTCCCTTAGTCCAATCAGACATCTCCAGGACTGTCTACTCTCCAGCAAACATAGCATTAAAAACAAAACCAAAACCAAACCAAACAAAACAAAAATGCACAGGAGGGCTGGGAGAAACAGCTCGGCACTAGAGCACTTATTTGCCTAGAATGTGTGAGGCCCTGCGTGCTGGATTCCCATCACTTCAAAACAAACAAACAAAAAACAACAACAAACAACAAAATAAAACCCCACAGGTTTCCCTGCTTATTTAGGTCTTCACTACCAAAGGCTCCTGTGTCAGGTAAAAATTATAAATTTGTATGTTTCCTTGTTAATCTTTTGTTAGAGAGGCCCTGGCAATGAGACCAGGGATGAATGGGTAAAGGAAAAACAACAACAACAAAAAAATCTAGGCTGGGATTGTGCCTCAGTGGTAGAGTGCTTGCCTAGCACATGTGAGGCCCTGGGTTCCATCCTCAGCACCACATAAAAATACATAAATAAAATAAAGGTATTGAGTCCAACTACAACTAAAAAATATTTTTTTAAAAAATCAACTTTCCTCCCCTATATAATCAAATGATGCTGTAAGAGTTTGGACCTCTACAAATTAAATGACTTATAGGGTGCACTTGTCATGGGTTCTTGTGTTGCTGAGGAGACATGGAAAACATCAAATCCAATCCAAGTGATCAGTACTAAAATATAGCTAAAGAAAGTCTAATCTACTCAACAATACTTCATGCAATCTGAAGTGCTAATGCACTAACATTGATCAACCAGTATGTTCTACTGGAGAGTTACATCCTAGGACAGGGACTCTTTTGTTCTTGTTCACTAATACTTTTGAAGAAATGATGGATTTCATGTATTAAATTTAAAATGGTACAGCTGTAAGAAAAAGAATTTGCCAACCGGAATTAAGTAAATAATAATAGATAGTACACAGAGATAGCTCCATTCATTAAAGTGTTTATGGTACTATGCTTTTTACAAACTAAACTTTCCCCCAATGCCATCCAGTTCTTTTTGCTATGGTTTTATGATCAATAATTGTCTTCCTAAATACAAATTCAATTATTAGTTCTATACTACCCCAAAAGATAGGATATGGAACTATTTAGATCACTGGAAATATACAAATGAAAAAAAAATGAAATTTAGTATCTACATCAACCTAATCTCTTCAGAGTTTTGCTTTAAACAAAGTCAATACCCCTATATTATATTCAGTTGTCAATAAAATTGATAAGGTTTAGCTTTAATCTGTCAATCTTACAACCATTAACCATTCAGGGCTGTTCTTTATATATGCACATTGTTGATATGTATACATAAAGAATCAAGTTAACAGTCGCACAGTTCCATACTTCAGTACTTCCTACCCTATTTCCTTATTTAAAAAAACAAAAACAAAAACAAAAAACCTGGAAGCTTGCTCTTGGAATTGTTCTCTTTTACATAAAACCTACAAATAATTGGAATGTTTTCTCGGAAGCAAATTAAAACACATTAGCTGGATAAAAATTACATTTTCATTGGAATTAACATTTTTGTAATGATAGGGTAAGACAGTCACAAGCATGCCTTGAGTCAATAAACAGTTCCAGTTTGGAACAGAAGCATAATATTCCAAGTAGGATTCTTTTTTTGTCGTACATGCCTTTGAGCATAATTTTTGAGTGACTTGTTACTCAATGTATGAATGGAATCTTTTCATACCTACCTCTATGCAAAACTAGAGATCTGTATATTGTACCCAACTCACCTCTTAGTGATGATCAGTATGTTCACACCTCAAGTTGCAACCTCCTTCTTAGTCTGTGTTCCTCTTGTTTGACAGAACATTGGCACTGCTGATTTCTTTTTAACACATACACTTTCTTATGTCTTTCCATTCCCACCCTTCACACCCTCCCTGAAATTCCTTTAGTTCAATATGGTAGGCTATTATTTTTCTATTAGATGTCAATACATGCCATCACCAACACAGACAATTCAACAACTTAACACATTTATAAAAACGCAGAAAGTACCTGGACATAGGCTCTGCAAGAGCGCTCTCTTTTCTGAAGCTGAATCCATTAAGACAGCAGATTAAACACAGAATAGAAAAAACAAGTTAGTGACAGAAGAAAACAAGAAAAATAAAAGAACACATCTACACAAAACACCTTATTTCCCCCCCCACTACTTTCTAGAAGAAAATGAAAGCTAAGCAGTAGCAAAATGTAACCAGTGGCTTGAAATACAGTAGCCAATACCCTTTCAGAATAACCCCAGTGAGAACTGGATGGTATAAAGCTGTTAATGATAGAAAGAGACTTCTGAATATGTTTAGTAGAAATTAGTAAAAACCAACATAATATACTTTATTTATTTGAAATGATCCATTTCACATCGGGTTAGTTATTAGTTCATGGGCCACAAATTAAGACATAAGAAGTTAAGTAAATTATGTCAAAAGTTTGGAGTACCCCCCCCTTTTTTTTTTTAAAGATAGCAGATTATTTGTGGTTTTCTGAAAATAGATGGTTAATATGTACAACTTATTAGATGTTCATTTATACATACAAAAATTCTGTTTACTGGCAAAATATAAATGCCTATTCATTATGACTATTCAATTCTAAGGGACAAATACCAAGAGATAAATAACTTTTGATAAAAAGAATATAATTAATCTTTTGACTAGTCACTTCTTTTATTTCTTGAAGAATGTCTTTTGACAATTTTGACCAAAAAAATTATACACTTTAGAAACTTTGGTGGGAAAAGAACCCTGTTGTTTGCTTTTGTTTGTTTGAATACAAAATTATGTTTTTCCGGGCAAAAGTTGACAGTAACTTGTATCAGTCCCAAGCATTTTTTTTTCCTGGTGCTAAAATGAATAATCAATAATGATTTATTCACCCTGTTTATAATTGACCCAGAATTTTATTAAATTAGACTGTGGGTTTTCCCCATCTTTCCTACTGTTTCTCTTCCCTCTTCAGTATCCTTGATTATTGAAAAAGGAAATGACCCAGGTTTAAGAAGCAGTTACTGTGATGGCTTTTTGTGTAGCTAATACTTTCCCCACTCTAATTCATGCATTCTTCAAGGAGCACGGAACTTGCTCCTCTAAAGATTTAATGAGGAATAAGTGCAAGTAAATTGCCAATGCTGTCATCTGGATCACTGACTCAAATCACGGTTTTGCAGGACTCTGGACCCTCCAGAATTTCAATGTGGAGCACAATTGATTTGTACCAAGTTGACTTTGCAAAACTGATGGGTTATAACTGCTTCAGGGAAAGTGGGAACCACAGGAAATGAGAGCAAGCCAGCAAGCACGTGAATAACCTTTGCCCTCCCATCTCCTTACCCCTTCATGCAAATTAACATATGACAAACCACATTATATAAACAATTGAAAAGAGCCAAATGGGAAACAAGGAGAGCATTAAAAAGCCTCACAAATGGAAATTTGCCCATTATGTAGTTATTTGATATTCAGAAGAGGCAAGCTGATTAGCTGTAGCCAGTTAGAATGTGACATTAATTGCCAGCTGTACTTGATATCCTCAGACACCAACACCATTTTTAAATAAAGATACAAAGTATCACTACAACAAGTCATGTTATGGACCAGTAACATTAATAGAAATCACTACTTTCAGTGCATTATGATAACAATAGCTGGCAGCAATATTCATTAATAGCATCAGTCAGCCTGGGTAATAACACGTTAAAACACAGCATGCTCAGATTATATAGGCAGCTGTGGATTATTCTATCAGGGATCTGGTTGTGATTCCATCAGGATATATGTGAGAAAAAAATGACTTCTTTGTGAAAAAAAAAAAAAACTTAAATAATTTATATCTAATAGATAAAATTGCACCGTTTTCTGAAGATAAAAATGCAGGACAAACCATTTCCCAGGTAAAATATCTGGCTTTTCTATGTTGAACAATCATTATTCTAAAAATTTCTTCCATCTTCTTGAGTAACAGTCTTAACTCAGTAAGACTAAAATAATGAAAAGAACTAAAATGCATTAATATACAACTCTACAAAATCATTTTTCAATCTAAAGGGGAATGTCCTTGTAGTGAATATCACAGAGGAAAATTAGTCTCTTACAGTCCAATTCTTACCTTTAAGTAGAAAGAAAATATCTTAATACTCAAGGCCCTAAATTCAATCATTAAGAATCTCTACTACACAAATGCCATTCAAGAAACATTGTCATTTGATGGTGGCAATTCTAATATTTTTTTCATCAGGAAGTTATTTTACCATGTGATATTTTGTTATGTAAATCAATAATATTCTTGGTATCATAAACAAAATGCTTTATATAAATACTAATAAAATTTATAAAGTATATTTTCCTTAAATTTAAGATGTAATTATTTTTCATTAATTACAATTCAAACAAATTTGCTGAAACGTACTTTAAAATTTTTAATGACAGTGATGCACAATCCAAGAAATATGAAAATCAAAATAAAGTAAAAATTACCACTTAATTATTTGCCACCTATTTTTAAAATTAATATTAATTAGGTAAAATTACCTCATTTTAAAACAGCTATATGGATTATCAGTTTGCTCTCATTGTTATTTTCTAAATTTCTACTTATTGATTAGACACTTATTTTATTGTCAATTTTTAATATGAAAGTTTGAAGGCAAAAAGAGAAGAAACAAATTGCATTTATCCATAGTAATCTTGCCAGAATTTAGCGTGCAAAGCAGAGCAATTACTATGGAAAAAGTAAATTCAAAATATATGCAGAGGGATTATCATTCATTGTTTCTTTAAATTAAAACCCAAATAGTGTCATTATTAAAATAGTGAAGTCATTTGAATATAGTTATTGATTCTCTTTAGCATTATCTGACTCTACAGAAGAAAGAAAAGTTAAGAAAGGAAGTCTTACTGACTTTACTACAATTTTAAAAGTTGAATAGCTGATATCCTTACCTTGTTCAAACTTCGAGCAGCACTGTCCTTTCCACCTGGTGTCAAGTTCCTGAGCTGGACATCCAGGAGGCCTACCAGCTGGTCCATGGCCCGCACTGAGTAGGTAATGTCCCCAGCATTCAGGTGATTCCTGGTCTGTTCAGCTAGCTCTCTAGCTATATTGGCAGCTGTCTCTCCAGATTTCAACTGTAATTTTGAAACAAAATAAAAAGGAAAGAGATCTTACCGTAAACATTTTTAGTGGTCTCTTCTGACAGATGTATTTAAATGTAAGTTTGAATCATTGAAGCAAGAAGCAATTAATATACTCCATCTGCACCTGATTGCAACTCCCTAATTTTTCCTACTAATTCATCCTTTTCTTCAGAACTTGACTTAAATTCATGACCCTAAGAAGTATCTCTAAGGAAATATACTTGTAAAAATTGTCACCCTTCTGATCTACTGATTCATTTGACTGGTTAAGTCTAAGATTTGCCCTATTATTTTTTTCTGTAAGTTTCTAAATAGGAATTTGAAGAGTGTTTATTATGAGCCTGAAATCATACTCTAAGTTCTCATAGGCAAGTGCCTAGTTTAGCACTTAGTAAATTAAGTGACTAGTAAATAAATTTACTAAATATTAGTGAATTCAAAGTGAACTAAGTGAATATTTAAAGTTGCTAAAGCCTTATAAAAATTTTATCCCTAATACAACTCCTCTTTCAAAGTGATTTTTTAAAAATATTTACTTTTTAGTTGTAGTTGGACACAATATCTTTTATTTATTTATTTATTTGTTT